AAGTTTAGAACAGCTGATTATAGTCGCATGTGGTTGACGACTGCACCATCCCACATCAAAAATCAAAAAAAAAAAAAAAAAAAAGGTCGCGTATGACCTCTGGGCATTCATCCCTGCTATTCATTGTAGGGTTTTTGGCATTTATCCAAAAAGCCTCAAAAAGTTTTCGCGCTGGTGTTTTGGACTCCTGTGCAAGGATATTGACTTTTACTTCAAAATCGTCTCTGCTATGCTTTTGTATCCTATGCTTCGCTAGTGGGGTTTTGTCTTGTTTTTCGTTTGCCATCTAGATGTTCTTTTATACGGATACACAAAGGTCTGCCCGTTTCGCCAATATATTCATCTCCGCAATTATTACAAGAGATCAGGTATATCGTACCTGAACTCATGCAATCACCGTCCCTGCCGTAAGAGCAAATTACGTAATTTGTTGTTTCACACAGACGGTCATACAGGCGGTTGCGAACTAATTGGCGACGTAGAGTAGCTGGTGGTATTTCGACTATCGCTACCGATTCCTCTAGACCTTCCCTTCTTAAGCATCGTTTTATAGCTACGCTTACTTCATCGCTTATAAAAAGCATCATAAACGGGACCTTCTTTTGGCCAAGTGTTTCGCGTGGGCGCGTCGTTCTCCTTGTAAACTTATCTCGTGGGGTTACTATTTCGTAGCCATTGGAGATGGCTATTTGCAGGGCCAAGTCGCGCGATTCTTCCTTTAGTTCCCTGGTAGTGCACACAGAGTTGGCTGTTCGAAACATGTTTCTCACAATCGCTGCTTAAGAAGGGCAGGTCTAGAGGAATCGGTAGCGATAGTTGAAATACTACCGGCTACTCTTCGTCGCCAATTAGTTCGCTACCGCCTGTATGACCGTCTGTGTGAAACAACAAATTGCGTAATTTGCGTATATATATATATATATATATATATATGTATATATATACCCTCCCAACGGTTTACCGCCTCATATTGGTGTTCCTAGATGTCGGGCAACGACGTGCAGCGGAGGATCCATCCCCAGCTGTGTCTCCCAAGCTGAGAAGGGGTCTCCCGTTTCAACCAGGAAGCCGAGCAAAGAGTGAACCAATACCAGGATCCACTACCGTGCTGGCTTTAAACTAGTCGCATAGTGGCAAATCTCCCTCTGATCCACAAGAGCTGCGATTGCCTGTGGTGGTGACCACCGCAGATTCTGGCCAGGCTGACCTCGGGACTCCAGGGAAACACCGTGGCTAACCAGAAAAACCCCGAAAAGTGAAGATTATGCTCGGCCCCGCACAACCAATGAGGACGGGCCGTCCAAGTATCCAAGTATATATATATATATATGTATATATATGTTTAAATGTATTTTAAATATATGCATGCGTACATACATGTAACTTTTATATACATATATATGTATATATATATATATTTATATATATATATCACGCGTAAAGTAATGATAATGTTTCCATCGAAGACAGCTGCGACTCGGAGTTCTGCAAATATCTCTGCGTCATTGTGGTTATATTTCACGTCGGATCCTGCCATAAAAAAAGAATATCCAGTTAATAAAAAGTGACTACGGTAGCCCGTTCACACTAATAACGACAATAACAAGTTGAAATTCTTGCCTACAATGAAGGTAGACGTATGTTCAAAGGCCATTCCTACGTACCCGAAATCATTTCCAATATTCACATATAATTTTCAATTCTTACACAAAGCAATCTCCGCATGAAATTTGTATTTTTTTCTTTCAATAAATGGTCTTCCAATAGGATTTAATGGGGACAGGTGATGCGCTGAGCTTCCTGGCACGTTCAGCAACATATTTTCAATCGTGGAATTCTACGACAATGGTTTCCTCTCGTTAACGGTGCGCTCAGTCTTGATGTACATAGCCGACTTTCGACGCCGGCTTGTACGTTTTAGTTTCGCTAGCGCTAGATTTCTTGTCTTTAACGACTTTGTCGCGGTCTGCGTACTTTTTGGTGAAGAATTCAACGGCTTTAGAGTAGTTCTCTTTAGTGAGTTAAATTTTTTTCACTGCGTCGAGAGCTTCCCTTTTTAACGAATTAAGCAAGTAATTCAGTTTATGTAGTTCTGGTAGGCACTTGGAATGTATGTTTAGGTTGAATGACTTACAGAAATTATCCCACTTCCATATGTTTTCACTGGACGTTGTTGGTATACGTGTGGATAATTCGAAACGCCTTGCTGTGCTTGTTGGTCGGACACTTCGACCGCTTGGATGTCTTTTTGTACCTTGTCGGGGTTTTCTGCCTTTTGGTGAAGTATTCGCCATCTGAAAGCTCTTTATGCGACTCTACTCTTGAGCATTAGTAAGTAGTCTTCGGTTGCATCGCTTGTTTCCTGCGCCTTACTCAAACATGCGTTGCTGTTATCATCGTTCTCTAGCGTTGGATTCAGCCCAGAAAACTTTTTTCGTACTCCTTCAATTAGTTGCATGTACT